GCCCTACCCGCCGGGATAGGGCGGCCCGCGCCTGCGCGCAGGCGGCTGCTGGTGATCTTGCTCCAACGCAGGTGCGTGTTTTGGCTGCGCTGGGCGGTGCTTGCTTTTTCCTGACAGGACTGTAGCCCTGCGATTCCCCACCCCAGCCGGTTTTCTTCTCCCTAGGTAGGCAGGGCGGTTAGGGAGGCTGGTCCTGGCCCGGTGTTTCTGTTGTGATGCGGCCCGAAGGGGCAGGAAATGGGCTCCCAGATACCCAGAATCCCCCGGAGGATTTGCTTCTACTCTGGAAGGGCGGCGGCCGTCCCATTACTCAATTCTTGACGTACTGGTCCTTCCAGGTCCCTCCCCTTAGCGAATAAACAAACACCAGCGCGTGACTCGACAGACTCAAAAAAAACTACTTCACCTACTCCGAAAAGTTTCCTTCCCATCTCTTTATGTAAATTCTTCCACCTGCACTCATTAGAATGCCTTCTAATCCCTTGCCCAAGCAAGAGAGTGGGGTGTGGGAGTGAATTTAAAAATAAAACCCCGTTTAGGTGCTGTTGTTTGGGGTACATGTTAACACCATTTATTGAGATTTACCAACGTTAACAAGCGCTTTATATTCCCTTGAGATCATTTAATCGCTGCAGTAACCCCACAAAATACGTATTTAATTAGGTCCAAAAGTCCAAGCTGTACCAAAAGGAGACTATACAGTAAAAAGTAAGTGTCCCTGCCACCTTCTACACAATTCACCACTGTTAAGTTTCTTGTGTACTCTTTCCGAAGCTTTTTATCTACGTTACTCTGTGTATATGTCTCCTCTTAAAAAAAAAAAGATTGGGAGCAACTCGCTGTCCCGCGTCTATGTTTATTTACATTAGCATCTATATCGGTACGAAAAGGCCAGCCGATCTCGTTCATCCTCAGTGTGCTACGGTGCCCTAGGAACAGTCCCGATTTCTCAGACGAAGGCACGCTAGGGCTCAGCGATGTGACTCGCCCGGGCTCAGTGCGACCAGGAATTCTAGCCCAGCTTCTTCTTGGCGTTTGGGACCCGTGGCTTGGCCCAGAGGGCAGCAGGAAGTGCTGGGCGCTGACTCGCCAGCGACACCCCCGCTGCTTGTAAACGCGGGACAGACGCGCTGCGCGGTAAAGACACCGAACGCGTCCTGCAGCCGGGTCTCCTCTACTCCGTGAGGTGAGCGTCCGGACCCTGGAGCTCCACGCCCGGAGCCCAGAGCCCCGCCCGGGGCGGAACAGGAAGAGGCTCCCGCCTGCCCGGGCCCCGCCTGCGAGCGCTGGGGCGAGTGGAGGGGGGCTACACCGGCGAGGGCGGCGGCCCGCGCGAGGAAGGCCAGCGGGCAGGTGGACAGGCGGTTAGGGACAGCTCCGCGGCCCCCTTACAACTCGTTCCCTTCCCTTACTCCTTCGCAGGGTGGTGGCTGGCGGCGCGATGGACCTGGCCGGGCTCCTGCTGGACGAAGAAGGCACTTTCTCCCTCACCGGCTTTCAGGACTTCACGGTGAGAGCGCGGTCCGCCCCCTCCCCGGCCTCCCCGCTCTAGGAACGGGGACCCCGGGAGCTCCCTCAGGGCCCGAGTAGGGCTGTGAGCTCGCCTGATGGCTCTGCCGGGAAACCAGGCTGTATCCGCAGGAGCCGTGCCTACTCGAGGCCCTGGCTGCTTGGGCCCCGAGGGAGAGCCGCGGGATACAGGAATGGGGTTAGGGGTGGCCAACCAGCGCCCTTCTCGGAGAACCTCTCCCGGGGAGTCCTCAGTGGAGGACAGTTCGTCCCCCTGTGGACTGACTGCCATTAGCAAACAACTCAGAGAATGCAGGGCTGGGTGAGGCACGGGCCTTACTATCAGTGAGGCAGGCCTGCCGCCCCCACACCCCTCTTCTAGCCCGGAGCCTTGATCTCCATCATACCCTTCCCTGCCCTTCGCCCTCCGTTACCCTCCTGCTCTGTTTCAGTTCCTCCCAGGACACCAGAAGTTGAGTGCCCGTATCCGAAGGAGACTCTACTATGGCTGGGACTGGGAAACTGACTGTAGCCTGGAGGAACTCTCCAGCCCTGTGGCAGGTTAGTGTTGTGTGGCTGAGCAAGTGAGAAGCCTGGAAATGGGATTGTCAGCCGTCACCAAAATGAGTCTAAGTGTACCCTATGAGTTACACTGTTTCTTCATAGCTAGTGCATTGGTACCGGTGTTAAGGACTGGGTTTGTATTTCACTTTTTTTAAATGAACCTAAATGAGTAGGAAACATTGTTGTCTTATAAATCTCTATTACGCTTGATCTGTATACCAGAAACTTAACTTCCCAAGGATATCCATCATCTGTTTCCCATATAAACAAGGTATTTGTTTATCTTTTCAAATGAAATAGAGTGGAGAACAAATCTAGACAATTTCAGGTGACAGGAAAATAAGACTTCCTGCTTAAAATTCGAACTTGGAATGGGCTTTTTATTCAGCGTGGGAGAATTTGATCTCTATTTTGTTACTGTGATTCTGTCCCCAAGACCCCACTCAGATAATGTAGATCTGGGTCTTCTGCTGATAGCAGTGGGGGCCACTGTGAGGGAGTTGTTTACTCACTCTGCTTTCCTTCTGCCCCCCTGCAGACATTGCTGTGGAACTGCTCCAGAAGGCAGCCCCCAGTCCTATTCGTCGGCTCCAGAAGAAATATGTAGCCCATGTGTCCCGGTGAGCCTGCAGTTGAGGGAGACAGAATGAGAGTGGGCCTTAGAGAGAGGGGAATGGTTATCTTTAAAGAGAAGTTGTAAAGGTACAGGGATGAGCATCATAAGAGTTACAAGAGCTGACAGACCCTTGGGTTTAATTACTGATCTTTTCTGCTACCCAGGGAGGCATGTATCTCCCCATGTGCTATGATGCTAGCTCTGGTGTACATTGAGCGGCTCCGGCATCGAAACCCAGACTACCTACAGCACGTATCATCCTCTGACTTGTTCCTGATCTCCATGGTAAGATGCCCCCTTCCCTCCATCTCCCTGGTGAGCCAGGAGCCAAATGTGAGCTCTACTGATACCACCTCTGGCTCCTTTGCAGATGGTGGCCAGTAAGTACCTCTATGATGAAGGGGAGGAGGAGGAGGTCTTCAACGATGAATGGGGAGCTGCTGGGGGTGTGGCCGTGCCCACTCTCAATGCCCTGGAGAGGGGCTTCCTGAATGCCATGGTGAGTAGCTGTTCTCTCTCTTGCTCTGTTTCCCTGGCCCATCTTTATGTTCCTTTCATCTTTTGTCTGTTCTCTCCCAACCTACTGTTGTCTCTTCATTTCTCTTTCTCCTTGTTCTCCTTGTGTCTTTCCTTGTTAGTGTCTTTCTTTCTAGCTTTTCTGGACTAAGCACAGCTTTTGGAGGTTCCTGACATGGTGAGGTCAAAAATGGAGACTTCTCCACCCCCACCCATTCCTCCAGGCCGGACAGGGTACACTCTGAGTTAGAGCTTATCTTACTGGGCTCTGATTATTTGTTACCAAACTTTCTCTGTGCTTAGATTCTGAGCTCCCTATAGGCACGGACCATTCCTAGGATTATTTTTTCCCTTTACCCTTAATGGAGGATACAGATATGCAGTGATTAACTAAGTTAGATAAAAGCTTTTGGAACAGTGTCTGGCATATGGTAAGTAAGTGTTACCCACAGTAGTGATTGTAGTTGCTACCATGGCTCTGGTTATTAGCTGGCCGTGGCTCGTATCGAGCCTGGTTTGGTTCCCTACTCTTCCTGCCCACAGGATTGGCGTCTCTACACTGACCCTCGGGAGATCTTTGAGGTGCTGAGCTGGCTGGAGAGCTGGTAGGTTCTAGGACTTGGGAAGAGGGGCTCAAGGGATTTGAGGGCTGAGGCCTAAGCCATACGAGCTAGATGGAGATGAGGGTCTGTGTAACTGGGGGGAGAGAGAAGACAGGAAAGAGGACCACCCAAGGTAGTAGTTCCCAAACCTGTCTGCTGCCCTCTTTGTAATCACCTCCGGAAGAGTGAGAGAAGTTCATTTGAAAGACAGATCTTGGTCTCACCCTCAGCTTCTGGATCAACAGGTAGCCTAGGAATCTGTACATTTAACAAGTTGCCCAGTGTTTCCTGGTGGGTCCTGAGGGGAAAGAGGGGTGCCAGTAGGCCAGCTGTGGGAGAACTGCAGACCCTCTCTATCTTTCATCCCCTTCTTACAGCGTGGCTGAGCAGCAGGGGCGGCGGCGGGGCTGGTACACCTACACAGACCTGTGTGTGCTGCTGGAGCAGCCCGCCTGGCAGCTGGCTCTGGGATCCCTCTGCCAGCAGCTGGCAAAGGTGAGGAGGAGGCAGGAAGGATCGGGGGCTTGAGCTGGCTGGTGTGTGGGGTGGGATGATGGAAAACAAATGCAGAAAGGCTCAGAAGCCCTCGATGGGGTTTGCGAGTAGTTAGTGACAAAGAACTCTAACTTGAACACAAGTGTTCCGAGATAAGGGGTGGGTGTGTTAAAGACAGGAGTAGGTTTGGGGGAAAGGGATTTAGCTCTGACCTATCTTACCCCCTCTCCTGCAGCTGTCCTGCCTGTTAGCTATGGCATATGTGAGCAGTGTGGCCCTGGCTGTGGCATCGATGGCTGTAATACACCAGTCCTTGGGGCTGTCCTGCAGTCCCCCGCCTGGCCCCCCAGACCTTGGACTAGCCACCAGGTGCCTTTTGGAACCCTGCATACCTTCTCCTGTGCCACAGTGCCTGCCATCTCCTGCTAACATCTCCAGCTGCCTGGAAGGCGACGTAGGGCTGCACTCACTCTGGGGAAGTCTTCTGGCTTCACTGACTCCCCAGCCATTGCCTCCCCCAGATCCTCCTGCACCTCCCACTCTTCTCCATAACTGCCCCCTTTGCCAGAAGCTCCAGAAAGACTTCCCAGCCTGCCGTGCCTGCCACCACCTCAACCATACTGTCCCCACCGGGCCCCCCAGCCCATGGTACCACTCCCATGGCCTGGCTCCACCCTGGCCTTGGAGCCCAATGCCCCCTCTGCTCCCGCAGCCCCAGCAGTGTTCCCTTTTCAGCATCATGGAACTGGCCCGCCTCAAGTCTTTCATTTTCCCTGGCTAGGTAGGGTTCTGAGGAACACAGTAAGAGGATTTGGGAGTCCCTGAGAACCTGGAGGAGCAGAGCTTGATCTGGGTCCTTGGCTGGTCCCCTGTCCTCCTGGGTGATGGAGCTTAAGAGGGTCATAGGGCAGAGGGACTGAAGGTCATTTGCTCTCCTAGACCTCCGTGGCCAGCTGCTTGGCCAGAGCAGTGATGGTGCCAGGGAAGGCTTCAGCTTGCTGACTGGGGCATGTCACAGGTGGGCAGGGGAGAGGCCCCCATCTCTCTGTCACCCCTGGTCTCCTAGACTTTTGCTTTTGAGTTTCCTAGGATGGGGCAAGGGAGGGAGGAAGCTTTGACCAGGGTCTGTGTGATGTCCCTGAGGCAAGAGAGGCAGGGACTGATAGGGCCAAGGTGGGAGCTGCTGAGGGAAGGCAGGGTGAGGTGGGAAACCCTCTCCACACCTGTCTCTGGGACGAAGTCTAGAGGAGCCAGGGGCTGCTGGGACCTCAACGCTGAGGGTTTGCCGTCTTGTCTTCCAACCTTCTCTTCTTAGTCCCCTGCTCCTGAGCTTCCCTCTCTTCCTGTTCCTCTCCTGGTGTTCTCTTCACAGGCTTCTCTGGCCACTTCTTTGTATCTGGGGTTTTCATGCTTTTGTAGAACTAAGGTTTCAATAAACAGTTTCGGTTGCATGGCCTGGACTCTTCCTTCTGCGGCAACCCTCGAAGAGCTTTCCCCCATATCTGCCTTCTCAGCCTCCCTACTTCCTGGCACCGTCATCTTGCAACTCATTCTCTCTGAGCCCCACTCCAGAGTGTCCCTGTTGTTTGATGGTCATAGGTTCCCATTTCAAACTCCCTCTTCATCCCTGCTCCCAGCACCCTTGACCCTGCTCTTAGCACTGCTCGGCTTGGGTGCGGTGGTGAGTGTCCCATGACCATTGGTAGCCCTGTCTGTAGGAAGTTCTGAGTGAGCACCATCTTTGTGGATCCTGAAGCACATCTCATGGACAGAGGCCAAGCCGAGAATCCAGCAGAGCCCCATGAGCTCCTTGAGGGCAAGCCCAAGGACACCTTATCTCTATCCTGACTTCCTTTCTGGTCTGACACATGGTTCCAGTCAGTGTTGCTAAAGAGAATACCGAGATTGAGTTATCATTGGAAGAAGGAAAACTGAGCAGCTAGCTGGACTGTGGGTATTTGGAACCACCTACTGTGACCCACAGCAGGGGTGGTACTGCCCCCTAGCGGGTATTTTGGAAATTTACAGGGCATTTTTGATTTGAAGGGGTGGGACTTACTGACATTAAGTTTGCCTGCGCAGGATGTCACACATCCTGAATTGCTCAGGAACCCCTCTTTTATGAAGAATTCCCAAGACAACTTTTGAATAATCAGATGGACATTATGTATATGAAAAGCCTGTTTATATTTATCTGAGCCTAGAACTATCCAACTTTTTACATGTGAACACAGAATAATTTTTGCACATTTGGAAAAAGAGTTTGCCAGGAATGCACCTCTGTGTAAATTAAAACTATACTTTGCTTTTTTCATCACTTTACCAAGAACTTGTTCACTATTTTGGAACATCAGGTTACCAATGGCAGCACATGTGTCATCAGGAAAGCACTAACATCAGTTAGTATTGTAGTTATCACATCCATGGTGATGCTACATATGGGGGTGGGCACTGGGCTACTTCATTATCTTCTGGTTTATCTGGGCCCAAGCTTTCATATAATAAGGACATGACTGTATGGAATATTTGTACATACTTGTCATTATGCAGTATTTATTTTTAAAGTTGGTGTATTTTTTTTTTAATTTTCATATGTCTGCACCTCAACTTTGTGGCTTAGTCATGTAAGTAGAACTATTCCGGTGATCATTGCTGCACTGTACATAGTATGTTTTAAAAGTAAAGGGAATTCCAGTTGAAAAAAAAAAGGCAAATTAGTCCTGTAATGAACACCAACTAATGCAAAACTCAAATTCATTCTGGTGATGGGATTTAACACTTTAAGTAAAACATTTTCTTTACCAAAAAAATGTATAACTCTGTCTACTCTGGTTTTAAGGATACTATGACTTCTTCAAAAAGTACTGAGTGATATATCTCTATTTTTCAATGAGTATTATAAAAACTGTCAGTATTCAATAGAATATGTAATAAATTCATAATTACACTTGGAAAACAATTATTATAAATGTCTTGTTTTTCCTTTATATTGCAGTGTTATTACAGATTTCTTTTTTTCTCCTTTATACCACAGTGAGGACTTTATATGGTGTTGTGGTCACTGTTGTCATACATGATGTAGGGATATTTCCTTTTGAGGTTGACCAGGGGGGTGACCCTAAAATGGTTGAAAACCATGATGTAATGGTGATGGTTCCAAATGGCAGTAGTGAGGAGGGCATATAGTGTGTAAAATCTCCCCAGGCTATTTTAGTGGCTTCTGTCCCACTGCTCCTGTCCCAGAACAGGGGATGTAGAAGGACATTCTTGGGGGGGAGGGGTCCAGAACTTGGCTCCCCAGTTAATGGGTGATGGAATTTGCACAAGAGCTGGGCAAAGGTGAAAGGGCCGTGTCCTACCCTAAATCCCTTGTCCCTTCCTTTGTTCCGCTTCGTTGACACCCCTGGCCCCTCCCTACTCCAGGCAGCTAACTTCACTCAAACTCTGACCTCTTACTCTCACTACTTAACTCTGGCCCAGGGCAGCCAAGACAAAAGGCAGGGCAGCATGAGCCGATCACCCCACCACGCCACACAACTCCGATCCCTTGGCTCTCACGGTACCCTGGTTCCCCTGCCTCGGCAGCCTGCTCTCCAGAACTCCTCCTCTCACTCTCGGGCCTCTCTGTGTGGGCCTCCTCCCTGGGGCCTCAGCTGTCTTCTGGCTCTGCAGGTAGGAGGTGGAAGTGTAGGAGTTGGTGCTGGCTGAAGAGGGTGTTTGGAGAGAATAGGTGTGGCATGAGAAATCCTCTGGAAATGGGTATTTCTGCCTATTTCTGAAGACCTTGCCTCCCCATCCCTCCACCTGCAGCATATCTTGGTCCTGACTTCTCTGCTCTGTGCCTCCCACCTGCTCCTGCTTCGAAGTCTCCCTCCAGAACGACTCTCTTACTCCCCTGCCCAGCTCCTGGCCTCCAGCCTCTTTTCATGTGGCATGTCTACCGCCCTGCAAGCTTGGATGGGCAGCAGGTGAGGGGAACTCTGTGGAGAGGAAGCACAGGCTTGGCAGGGTCCCAGGTGATAGGAGAAGCTTGGGGAGTCTTTTTGGATGTCACGTGTTTCCAGACCTGCTGGGGCTGCTGTTCCTACAGGCTTCCTCTTGTCCAGGCTCCATCCTTAGAGTTTCTTATCCCTGCTCTGGTGCTGACCAGCCAGAAGCGAACTCTGACCATCCAGACACCTGGAAACTGTGAGCACAGAGAAAGGGCATAGGGTGAGGGTGGGGTTGGGTGCTACACTGAGCACACAGGTGTAAGTGGATGTAGAGATTGGGCAATTATGGGTGTTAGGCACTGTGGGGAGTTGGACCTGTGCCATGCAACAGCTAGAACTGTAGAGCAATCGGTCTCCACCCCCTTTACCTCTCTCCTCTCCATTCCAACTTCTCCCAGCCTCCCTTGTGCTGCGCCCGTGTAGGGGGCCTGGCTGCCATGGCCTGGAGCCCTGGAACACTTCCCTCCGAGAGGTGAGTGCCTGGGGGTAGGGGGCTAAAAGTGGTGCCGGGATTGGGGGAGGCTCTTGTTTCCATTTTTCAGGGACTGGGATGTTCTGGGGGAAGGAGCTGGGGAAGGAACCCCTCCTGGGATTAGTTAAGAAGTCCAGGCTGAGGTCAACTCGATGGAGCCAAATGTTTTCTCTTTGTCCTCTTTGTCCTCTTCTCTACTCCACCAGGTGTCCGGGGCCGTGGTGATATCTGGGCTGCTGCAGGGCACACTGGGGCTGTTGGGGGGTCCTGGCCACTTGTTCTCCTACTGTGGGCCCCTGGTGCTGGCCCCCAGCCTGGTTGTGGCAGGGCTGTCTGCCCACAGGGAGGTGGCCCTGTTCTGCTCTGCTCACTGGGGCCTGGCATTGCTGTACGTAAGTCCTGAGAGTCGTAGGGTGGTGATGGGTGGGGTGTGCGGGAGCCGCGGGGTTGGGGGAGGGCAGGGCTGCCGGCTCTACCAGATTCAGCAGTGGTCTGAGCAGAGACAACACTTTGTGGATTTGGAATCCAGACTTTTGCTGGATTCATTTGGTCACCCTGACTTTCACACTGTATCCTGCTGACTCCCAAGATGCCCTCCTTCCCCCTCTCTGAGGGGCTTTCTTCTCTGGGACCCCCTTTTATTGTATTCTGCCCCTCCCACCTCCATTTCCCCCCTTAGGCTTCCTGCTTCCTCTTGCTGCTAAAGCACCTTCCCTCTCCTAGGCTTATCCTGCTCATGGTGGTCTGTTCTCAGCACCTGGGCTCCTGCCCGTTACCCCCAGGTCTCTGGAGGCCAGCTTCAACCTCTTCAACCCACACTCGCATCCCTGCCTTCAGGCTCCTCTCGGTATGTGGGGGTCTCTGCAGGGGCAGTTGAGGTTAGAAGGGCTGGCATGGATGCTCACTCCGCACCTTACCTTTTAGCTTCTGACCACTCCTCCCAGGCTGGCTTGGAAGGTTCTGGGGGAGGCGCTCTTTTCCCTCTCAGTCTTGCCCTTTAGGTGCTGATCCCAGTGGCCTGTGTGTGGATTGTCTCTGCCCTTCTGGGTCTCAGCGTCATCCCCCTGGAGCTTTCTGCCCCCATCAAAGCACCATGGTTTTGGCTGCCTCACCCGGGTAGGTTTTCTCCTAGCCCTCCATCCTCTTACTCAAAGGTGTCTATTTCTTTGAATTCAAGATTTAATGAATTTCATTTGTGAGTTGAACCCTGGATTTTCTCAAAACACACAGAGGAGAAATTGCCAGTCCAGGGGGGCAATGCCAGCCCCTCACCACATATGTGATATTTAGTGTTGAGACATCTGTAAGCCCACTGCTTTGGGTCTATATTCGTTACCCAATTTACACATTTTTGTTAGCTGTCCCAACAGGTATTTGCATTGGTGACTCCTGTATAAAGGTTGCTTTTGTACATGAAATTTATATATGAAAATTGTATATGAAATTTGCTCATTCATAAATTTAATAATGGTCTATTGAGTGCTGACTGTGTGCTAGACACATGATAGGGGTTACAGTGATAAAAATGACACAGTACCTGCCCTCATGAAGCTTATAATCTGTGTGATGAAAGTTTATAATGCGGAATCTGACTTTATCAAGGAGGTCAGGAAAGGCATCTTGAGGAAGTGATCACTGAGCTGAGATGTGAGAGATGAGTAGGAGCTAACTGGGTAAAGGCATTGAGAGAAGAGCATGCTAGGTGGAGGGAACAGCAATATGCAAAGGCCCTATGGTAGCCAGCAGCCCAGCAAGTACAAGGTCCTGAAACAAGGCCAGTGTACCTGGAGTGAAGGAAGCAATGCAGAGGGAGGTAGGACATGAAGCTACAGAGAGAGGTAAGGGTCAGACCAAAGAGGACCTAGTAGACCACAGTAAATGGATGGGTCTTTAACCTGAGTTTGATGGGTTTTTTCCCAAGACATTATCTTCAAAGACAATGGGACTTTAGGATTCTTGTGTCATAGGCTGTTAGAGACAGGAGGATCTTCCAGACATGAGTCTGGCTCCAAGGCAGCTCTTTTTCCCTTCCCAGCTGAGTGGGACTGGCCGTTGCTAACACCCAGGGCTCTGGCGGCAGGAATCTCCATGGCCTTGGCAGCCTCCACCAGCTCCCTGGGCTGCTATGCCCTGTGTGGCCGGCTGCTTCATTTGGCTTCTCCACCTCCGCATGCCTGTAGCCGAGGCCTGAGCCTGGAGGGTCTGGGCAGTGTGCTGGCTGGGCTTTTGGGGAGCCCCATGGGCACTGCATCCAGCTTCCCCAATGTGGGCACAGTGAGTCTTCTCCAGGTACGTGGGGGTGTGGGTGTGGGAGCTGCAGGTGCAGGAGAGGGAATGGAACTCAGATGACTGATGGTCAGCTGTGGCCAGCACTCTGCCAGACACCTCACGTCAATGATCTCATTGAGGGAGGTGCCTAGAAGTGGTAAGGGGCTAGGAGTATGAGGAAGGCACTGAATCTCTACGGAGCTCCTTCTGTGCCTCAGGCACTGTACCAGGGCTGAGGTTCTAGAGAGAAACAAATTAGATGAAATCCCTGCTCTCTTGGGGACTGCAACAGAGAGAGGCAGACAATGTAAGAAGAAAAGTATAAAAGATAATTTCCAAGAGTGATAAGTGCTATTAAGAAAAGAAAGCAGCTTGCCAGTACCGGTGGTAGGGATGGCCCCCAGTATTCTGTGACACCTCTGCCTTGTTCTCCCGTTGCGACTGGCCATAGCTGCAGTGCACCAAGGGAGTGCAGCCTGCAATTAAAAAAAAGAAAGAAAGTAAACAGAGCAGAGGGAGTGGGATAGTGGTTGAATATGGGAGACCCCTTTAGGTAGAGTGCTCAAGGATGCTTCTTGGGAGGGTGACATTTGAGTTGGGATCCGAATGATGAGGAGTTGGCCAGGTGAAAACCCTGAACAGTTGAGGAGGTGGCTGTATTTTCTGGTGTCTCTTCTTCACATAGGCTGGATCTCGGCGAGTGGCCCACTTGGTGGGGCTGCTCTGTGTGGGGTTTGGGCTCTCCCCGAGGCTGGCCCAGCTCCTCACCACCATCCCGCTGCCTGTGGTTGGTGAGTAGATGTATCAGCAGGACTGGTCTTGAACCAGTACCCCACAGGATGGCCCAACTTGTTGCTTGTAGTTGGTACCATTTTCTTTCTGAATAGCCTCCCTAATATATGGATATGAGTGTGTGTCAGCTGCCCTCATTTTTCAGCTACATCCTGGTCTCTTGACTGGCTTCTGGGCTCCTGGCAGAATCAAGCTTTTCGGTGGTCTCTGTCCATCATATCCTGCCCTGCCCTGCAATACTCTCTGCTGTGCTGCCCGGTCTCTCCCAACTCTTTGATTACTTCTGTGTGAGACAGGTGGGGTGCTGGGGGTGACCCACGCCGTGGTTCTGTCCACTGGATTCTCCAGCTTCCACGTGGCTGACATTGACTCTGGGCGGAATGTCTTCATTGTCGGTTTCTCCATCTTCATGGCCCTGCTGCTACCAAGATGGTTTCGGGAAGCTCCAGTCCTACTGAGCACAGGTGGGAGGAGGAGGGAGGGAAAGAGGAGTTGCTCAGCAGCAGGAAAGCAAGGGTTCAAGGCTTGAGGCTCTCTGGACTCCAGGCCCCACACCCTTCTCTGGGCTTGACTGTAAATAGTCCATCCATTTGTTTAGCAAATATTTATTGAACACCGTGCTAGTACCTTGGGATACAAAAATGCCTCCAGATGTTACAGTATCTAGTAAAAGAGATGAGATGTGTAGAAACAGAACTGGAAAGGTTCAGATAAAGAGCCATGGTGCTCAGTGGTGAGAGAGATGGCTTCTGTTGGAGATGATCCTGGTAAACTCATGGAGAAAGTAACATTTAGCTGGTCTTGAACGATGGTAAGATTTAGATATATTTGATAAGAAGGTCATTCCTGGTGGAGGAACCTCATAAACAAAGACAGAGAAGGAGGAAGTTACAGGATATGTCCTGGGAGCAGCAAATAACTTAGTTTGTTAGCTCAGCTTAGTAAATAGCAGTGGTTCTTAACTGAGGATGGTTTTGCCCCCAAGAGAACATTCGGCAATGTCTGGAGACTTTTTTGACTGTTCTAAACAGGGGAGAAGTGATTGTTACAGGCATTTAGTGGGTAGAAAGATGCTGCCAAACATCCTACAGTGCACAGGACAGCCCCCCTCAAACAGAAAATTATCTGGTCCAAAATGTCAGTAGTACTGAGGTTGAGGAACCCAGGCTAGAGAATGAAAGGTAAGAAGTAGGGGAAAAAAAGTTGGGGCTTTTAATTCCAAACTTTCCAGAGACAGGGAGCCTGTAACTATCAAAGCGTATCTGGAGGGCATGTGGATGCTCAGCAGATAGGGATTCTGTGGGAAGAATTTGGGAAGGGGATGCTCAGCAGAGGGACAAAACGGGGGCAGGTGGGACAATTCAGAAAGATCTGTCCTTAATCCAAGACTTAGGTTTAGGTTGGAAGTATAAGACCACTTGATTTTGCATAGGATCAGAGTTCTCCTCCTGCCTGACCCCAACCCCCTGTAGGCTGGAGCCCCTTGGATGTGTTACTGCGCTCACTGCTCACAGAGTCCATCTTCCTGGCGGGACTCTTAGGCTTTCTACTAGAGAACACCATTCCTGGTAAGTTGAGGCCAGGCTCCAGCAGACTAGGGAGTGGCCAGGAAGTCATCACTCCCTGGATTGGGCAGTGGCCTGACCATCCTCTCTTTTGCAGGCACATGGCTTGAACGAGGCCTAAGTCAAGGGCTGCCATCCCCTTTCACTGCCCAAGAGGCTCAGGTGCCTCAGAAGTCCAGGAAGAAGGCTGATCAAGAGTACGAGCTTCCTTTCCCCATTCAAAACCTGTGTCCCTGCATCCCCCAGCCCCTCCGTTGCCTCTGCCCACTGCCAGAAAACTCTGGGAATGAGGAAGGAGGGTCCTCTGAGCCAGGAGAGACAGCTGACTTGCTGCCTGGCTTTGAAGAGCAGTGCCAAGTCTAGCAGAGAAGAACTTAGGTCCCAGTAATTAGCAGGACTCCTACTTCTACCCTGGTTAGTTTAGACCTATCTCCCAGCTTGCTGGAAAGTCAGCTACCAGGCTCTACTTTCTCCTAGGAACAGGGCATGTGTATGTCTCACATGGGCCCACCTGAAGTCTCATTTCCCAATAGATGTGTTTGCTTTTCCTTCTCTTAATTAGGCCTAACTGTTCCAGAGCAGGGTCTTTGGTTTAGTGGGCCATGAACAAATGAGTGATATGCCTGTGAACTATCTATACTTGAACCCCAGCATTCACTTAACTGGTAATTATTGAGTGTCTCCCATGTGCAAGGTTCTAGAAATACAGATATGTATAAAACAGAGTCCCTATCCTCTCAAAGCACTTATGGTTTAAAAAGATATGTAATTACTAACTAAAATCCAAAGCAGAAGGCAGTCTTCAATAAAGATGAAAACAATGCTTTGGGAACAAACAGAAGAAACAATGAATTCTGATTAGGGATAGTGGGAAAGCCTTGACACTGAAGCAGCACTGAGGCTGGCCTTAACAAAAGGAATTTTGGTTGTGGAACATGGAAGGGGAGAATTTTTCAGGCTCAGATATCCAGCTCCAGCAAAATCATAAATTGTACAAAGCCCAAGATGAGTTGAAGGATTTCAAGCTTCTCTGTGGTGATGGAGCATAAGTATGGGGAGTGGATGGAGGGAGAAATCAGACAGGAGAGGTAAGGATGAGGTCAGACCATGGGATTTATGCCTGGGAGACTCATCTGTTTAAACAAATCAAGTGCTGGTGAGGACCCAAGAGATTATCTAGCGAAATTCAACCCCCTCGTTTTATTTAACAAAACAAAACAATAAAGAGGTTGGACAGGTAAGGAAGTGACTTTGAGTTTATCAACAAGTTGAAATCCGGGGCCCCTCTCCTGCACCCCATCTGGCGTTCTTTCTACTCTGCCAGCGCGACTCTAAGGAGTGCCACTACCCCTCCACCTTTCTACTGGGGGTCCTCCAGCCTCTCTTTTTGCTTTCTTGGCCACGGAGGACCTCCACCTCTCAGCGGTCTGGTAACCAGCTCCGAGGGCCCAGATGCCCTGCCCATGTGAGGCCTAGGCTCCGCCCCAGTGTCCCAAGATCCCGCCCCCGCGGTGGTGG